CGAACTTTTATAAAATGCGTCTGGGCACAATTATCTATAGTTATGAATATGGCGTCATCTAACAGTTCATAACCCTCTAGGAAGATTAAAGTTGACAGAATATCAGATTGCACATGTGTTATACAGCCTCCACTTTTGGCTGAATTTTGATGTTTGTGGTACATTTTAAAACCATCTACAAACAGTAGTAAATCAAAAATATCAGGCATCTACCAGGTCTCAGTTATTAGAATACAAAATGGATTGACCAAGTAAACTACAGATCTAAGGTTAGCTGTCTTATTGCTCAGAGAGCGTGAATTAAAAAACAATAGAAAGCTGAAACACGGTTTGGCAACAGAAACGTTGCGAGAGATCATTAGTTAACCGATCATTGACGTGGGCCTGTTGAGACAGATCCTCTTGTCAAAACTGGTTGCATCTGCCGATCAGTTGACATTTTTGTCAAACAGAAGTGCAAAACAACGTCGCAGGGTCGGCGAAATGTCACTGAGCTTCAGCCAAGTCATCCAGCAGTCGGCTGACGGAATGCCGAACAGTTGATTATTATTATTATTATTATTATTATTATTATTCACAAACATCTTATGGGTACATAAGTGTTGTGAAGAAAACATTTCGGGTTTCTTCAAAAAATGCAATAATACACAATTTTCAATAATGTTAGCATTGTACTTGCCATTTAAAAAAACTTTAGAGCAATAATAGTAGAATATTAATGATAATGAATCGGGTCTGTGCAATTGAGAAGAATATTGAACTGAGTTTAAAAAAGGAAATGGATAAAATAAGGGAATAGAAATAAAGGAGACGTGAACTACGCAAACAGTCTAATAGGCATGTTTACGAACACAGAACAAGAATAAACGACTATGTGTGTATCGTTAAATTAGTAACAAAAAATAATTAAGAAAAAATAACTTATAGTTGAAGTAAGATATGACGCTAGAATAAATGTCTGTGCAGTTACAGTTTAGAGTGATGCTATGAAAGTTACAATTAAATGAAAAGGATAATAAAATATCAATATGTATGAGTCCTACATATGCATAGTGAAGACAAAACGGGTCTGAGAAGTTAATTTAAGTGTAACACAAGTTATTGTTTTAATTACAAACTTCGTAATCTTAAGAATAATATTTATTTAGAGGGAAAGAAGAGAGAAAAGAAGTGAACACTTAGTGAAAAGTTTTGATCCATGATAAGAATAATAATTGTGTAATGAATATCAACTTCAGAAGGAAACCAGTAATTGAAAAAATAAAATAAAAATCCGTTAAAGCACTCGGATGAATACATTTAGATTTATGTAATAGTATACAGAGTGAAACCGGATATTAGTATAAATATTTGTGCAATAATAATTAAGATTGATGCTATGAAAGTCAAAATTGATTTCAAAGGACAATCTGGAGTTATATATGTTTAGAAGGATAAGAAGATATAAAAAGAATATCTAATGTGTCGGGGAACTAATACAGATATTAATAACGGAAATAATGAGAAACACGAACATAAGCAGATTTCATATATTAAGATAAACAGAAATAAAATAGACGTGGAGAGATTTAAATGTTTTATTTTGCTTTTCAAGCAATTAGATGGATGACGGACCTTGTTTGTATAAATCATCATCAAATGCAGTGATATTCAATAAGTGACACAACCCACCTTCGGGAAAAAAATCTTCAAGCAGACTTCTGAACCGGGTTGTAGTTTCACTGCAACGGAGGTTCACTGGCAGTCTGTTCCACATGGTTGAGTAGCGAATAAGGAAAAAATTCTGACGTAAGTTTGTGTGGGTTCTTGGAATCGCTAGAATATTCTCCTTATTACGTAGATTGTGGGATGGTATCATAAGGTATGAAGGGGTGGATACCGAGGAGTAGGAAATACCGTTAATAAGCCGGTAGATAAAGGCAAGATTTAATTTGATACGTCTGATCCCAAGAGGTTCTAAGTTGAGTTGGTGACATCTTTGGTAATGGTCTTTGTTATCGGAATACCCCAGAATAGCTTTGGTGAACTTTCTTTGAACACCTTCAATTCTAATCAGGTCATTATGTCTGCAATTACTGTAAACTAAAATACCATATTCAAGAATGGCCAAGACACATTTTCTGTATAGTAACAATCTCGATTCGATATTATTGAAGTTTATCATTATCAATCCGATGAGCTTTCTAGCTTTGGATACTTGAGATATAATGTGTTCAGAAAAGTTCAGACTATTGCTATATCTTAAATCCAGATCACGAACAGTGTTGAGACGTTTGAGTGTATGTGTCTGTACAGTCAGATTTTAGTTAAGACAGCGACCAATATGAATAAATCCACTTTTTTCAACATTAAGTGGCATATTCCACGAAATAGTCCATTCGTACAACTTGTTTATTTCCTCTTGGATTACCGCTGAAATATAGCTTTCTTTCGTGGGAGAAGAGAATGAATAAACTACTTTCAGGTCATCAGCAAAAACGAAAGGCTTACCAAACTGAAAGAGGGAACACACATCATTGATAAAAAGGAGAAAGAGTAATGGACCAACCACACTTCCTTGTATAACCCCACTGGTTACATTCACAGGTTTAGAGTAGCAAGATCCAAAGCGAACAATTTGGCTACGTTCTTCTAAAAAAGATATGAGCCAAGATAAAAAGGGATTCTGTATGCCAAATGAAGAGAGTTTTAAAAAAAGAAGTTTGTGTGAGACACTGTCGAAAGCCTTACTGAAATCGAAGTAAAGAATTATCACTGACTGATCAACATCTCTTTTCTGGGTAATTTGATCAAAAAACCCCAGGTGCGATGTGAAACATGAGCGTTTAGTCATAAATCCGTGTTGGGATGGGCTGATCAGACTAGCCGAAAGTAAAAATGATAGTAGCTGTTTGTGGATGATTTTTTCCATGGTTCTTGAGAGCACGGATGTCAAATTAATTGGGCTATAGTTAACAATATCACTATGTGATCCTGTTTTGAATCTAGGGGTGATAAGGGATGTTTTCCATACAGATGGATAGGTCCCATATTTCATAGATAGATTGAAAAGTTTCAAACAAAATAATGGAAATTCTCTACTTCTGTATTTCACAAATGATGAAGGTATCCCGTCAGGTCCACCATCATAAGACTTTTTCAGGGCAGCTATGGCCTGCTTGATGTTGGAGGGTGTAAAATCAATTTTCGACAGATGTCTGGATGTCAGCATTGGAAATGTAATGATGGAGTTTTCAGTTCCAGTTTTGTAGCACTGCGAGGCGTGCTTGCTGAATTGTTCGCATATAGTATTCGGGTCGTTGACAATGCTTCCGTTAACTATGAAGAATTTAGTCGTGCCTAGGGAATTTGACTTTACACGGGATTTAAAAAGTCGAAGTATTGATAATTCTGGGCTTTTACTACGTAGAGCTTTATTTTCTATATTCACAAAATACTTACGTCTAGATGAAGCATTTCTGTTGATTAATTTAAGTATACTCTGAAGTGCATACACATCATTCTGCTCGTAGTATCGGCATTTTAATTTCCTCAGCTTTTTTAAAAAGTATTTTGGCCCCTATTAGCATTATAAGCTACACGGCCAAGTCAAGTTCAAGGACAACCAACATGTATTAATTAACTGAAAATTATGGACTGGCTAATGTGGTGATGGTTACACTCTCTTTGTGCTTACTCTTACTAAAATATTTTTGTAATAATGACCTTTGTGTTACACGGTTTTCAAATCGGTCATAGTACCTTGATACGACGGAAGGTAAAACACGTTAATTGTTGTGTGCGAGATGTGATATTGAAGTTAACTGTTTGTCACGCCTCTCCCGTTTAACTCGAGTAGACCTTCAATCATTCGACAAAGACCATCTACGTTAGTGATCTACAAATGTGATAAGTTTTCCTTCCGAGAGTCCTTACGATTGTGATGGGGTGGGAAACATTACTAATATAATCATTTGAAATCCGTATCTTATTCAGAGATTTCTAATCTCCAGACTCCCCTAGATCTACAGAGCAACCTGCTTTTTTTAAACATTCACACCATTCTGATTATACACAAACTCAAAACATTTCAAACTTAAACCTTCGAGTTGTTTTAATATGCCTTGTTCGATTATAGGCTACGGTGTTTTTCCTTATGAGGTGGACCTATGTGTTCAAGTTATTTATTTATAGACCTTCAAGGAAATAGTTATCACGTCTTTATTTACGGGACATACATCCCGAATATGTTATTTAAAATTCCGTTTTTATTTGTTTACAGTCTATAAAAACATATATATTCCTGAACGTTAAAAAGTTTTAAATGCGGTAGATTAATTAGCTCTTCTTATTGTGATATTCGGAGTTGGAAAGCGCTCTTGTCCGTGACGCCCTAATTATCGAAAGATACCAACTCGTTCAGATCAGAAGTCAGGGATGAATGATTTTGAGGATATATTTGGAAAGTTGCATATATGCTGAGGTGCGTTTGATTTAATCTGGCTAGTATTTGCGTGGGATGAGAAGTACGAATTACTAGTGTGGATGCATGACCGAGCGTCTTCAGCCAGGGTATGTTCAGTAAAACTACTAAGGTAAGCATCAATGGCGAAAACCTAGAGAATTTTATATCGGGGATTTATTTACCTCTATATACCCTTTCAAAATTGTATGTTCTACATTCACACTGAGTAGTCTGTTCTCATTTTCGCTGTTTTCTACTATTTTCTAGCTTTCTTTAAGCACAATCACCTTATCAATGACAAGTAAGTAAAGTAAATTCAGACTAGACGCGAACCGATTTATTTGGGTTCTGCTCAGGAACATCTGATGCCCTCCTAGTCTAAACTAAGGTTTGAGTATATTATGAAAAAATAATAAATTCAGTTGAAATCACGAAGCTGGTAAATATGAGAGTTGACTTTCTAACTGGTTTCGTTTTTGAAGCCTGTGTTTAAATTCATCGGATTTTACGTGACCTTCCCGAAAAAGTTATATAACCAATTTGAAGTTCCGACATAAATAGCGTGAGGATTACGTTCCTATGGTAATTCGTCTTTTGTTTATAATTTCTCTTTCTTTTAAATGTAGAAAGAAAAAGTTCGAAACTTAATTTTTGGGTGCATCTCAGTTTTGGGAGGCGTTCTAATCCATTTTGCCTTTGGTTTCTTCTATAGTACTGGTATGTTTTACCTACTTTTACGACCTTCTCAGCTAACATTGTACCCTATATTATTAGTTACATCGTAGTACGGGTTGACCCGGAATTGCCAAATACATCATCAGTTTGGATATCTGGTATTGCTTTGGCTATGCAGGGCGTTTCTATGCCATTTGGTGGATTGATTGCCAGGAAGTGGGGCTTTCGTATTGTTGTTGCTGTCAGTTGTTTACTTGATAGGTAAGAGTTTTGTTTATTCTGTTCATTGTGTGCTCTTACTTTATGCTTTACTGTAGTTACTTTACATGAAGGATGTCGAATTAGAAATCAAGCAAATGCATATTGCATTAACGCATACATTTTCCGTCAGTCTTAGCAATTATAGCTTTTCATTCACGTTTGAGGGCCTTGTCAACTTATCCTATAGCATGAAGGTTTGGATTAAACATTTTCACACGCTTACCAGGAGGTATTATAAACACGTTGAACGCTTGACTTAAATCTACTTACGTCAATTAAGCCTCCCTTGTTGCTATGGGGTTCTTTTCGTCATAGTACGACTTAGCATTTATATTCGAGATTGTTACGATGTCTTTCTACATTATTATTTGTTTTAATATATTGGTACAGATAAGCACGAAAATAAATATTCGCCACACGAATAAGAAAATTAGGTTGTGAAGGAATAGAGAAAGGATAGGGTGTATAATCTAGTGAACAAGAAAGAAAAATAAATGAACAAGAATAAACTATAATGGAAGAAACAAGTCAGTTAAAAAACACAGCTAGGAAGAATTATCATTTAACTAAGCTCACCTCCTTTATCCTGATTCATATCTGGCAGTGTCTCAAGCTACTAATTTGCTTTATCCCTCAGACCTCAACTAGAAATTCGTGATGTGCCGATAGTTAACAGTTTTATAGAGCTTTCTTTTATACCCCGAATCCCTGCTACAAATTGATTATCCCTTCGCATTTTCCAACTAGTCACAGAGTCGACGGACAAACTACGATGTGAAAGTCTCTGAGTTGACATTCGCACCGCATTTCCAGGACATTGAAGTTGATGTTTCAAGATGACGACACCGATCGAGTTGTAGAACGCATTAGCAAACCACCACTTTAATAGCATATTGTTGTTAGTGAGCTTTAGAAACCCTTCAGATGTATCGATGTCTGAACACAGCGACTCATTTAACACCTTTACTTGGGTAAGGCCATGATTTACAACATAGAGCAGGATTCCTCTCACCGATAAGATGTAACCCTAAACTTTTACAACCAGAGTAATATCAAGATGGTACCAAAGATGATTTATATCGGGATAAGCCACAAATACTCACACATTTAACTAAGCACACGAATTTTTTCAGTAGTTCTAATAGGCCACGACAACACTCCTTCCGATTGGAGGCAAGTAGCAAACTTTCACTGGTGGTGGATTCAGACGGATTTCCGAATGACCGTACTGATCATTAATGGACTTAATTTATTATTTCAAAATATTTTGAAAGATCAAAAAGTGAAAGATCCAGTTTCGTTCTCCCAAATATCTTTCATAGACCTACATCAAAACTTATTGTTTGTACTTGTATCCTCAAATAGAAACATTTTAATTTTATTTAGTCTTAAAATCGCAGATTTGTTAGACTAAATCATTTTATTTTTTAGATTAAAAACGCTTTTCTGGGCTGCCTACTACATCAAATCACTCAATTTAAAAATTTCAGTGTATTGATTTGAGCAAATATTTAGTTTAAACTGATCGGTTTCTTATCAGAGGCGGACTCAATTTTCAATATTATACAATTTAGTATTTATTTTGAAAAAACGATGTAAATGTGTTATGGTGTTTTCGTTTATTTAATTACAGCATTAGTATTTTTCTGACTTACGTCACTGTACAGAGGTCCTTTCCTGGAGTCATCATTACGTATTCTGTGCTGCAAGGGTTGGGTCTGGGTTTTGGCTATTCCGTAGTATTGTCTGTGGCCGCAACGGTAAGAAAGTAAATTGTCTACATTTCAAAGTTTTTCATAAAAGTGATAATGTTTTATATGGCCATGATCACTTGAAGGTTTTGGACAGTAAAATTACTTGTTGCTAAAGTCAATTCAGCTGTGTGTTATTGTAAACAGTAAATCGTAGAGCTCACCAAAGTGAGTCTGGTTTTCATATATGGTAACAAATGCGTGAGATAAGATTTGAAATAATCTTTGAGATAAATTTTATTCTTGGGATCAGATTACTTAGCATTTACAACACCGTTCATTTCTATCACACGTTCTAAAATGTAATATTTTAGTGCAAACATGAAGTTATTTTTTTCATCGTTATTTTTAACAAATTTTAATATAACTTGGGACTTCAGAATGTATAGCCCATAGATTAAGAAATAAGACTGTAAAGGAATAAAGATAGTGGATTAAAATTATCAAAATAAGTAAAAAAGAATAGTATATGATGAAAAATACGGTCCTTTTACTCATAAAAAATACAAATGGAAATTATAAAACGATCTTCTCTGACTTTTATTGTAAACTACGTTAGGTAATTCCTCAAGCCATTGAGACACACAGTCATCAAGACTCCAGCTGGAGATTCCTAATAGATCCATCGATGCCAGTACTAGACAGCTTGTTCATACGTAGACGCTATATCATAATCCAACCACCTCTACTTTTTTCAATTAGTCCCTGAGTCGGCAATCGGTGCTAGAGGTGTGAGCTACTGAAACAATATTCGCGACACATTCACAAGCCATAAAAGCCGGTGTTTTAATATTGAAACATTAACTAAATTTTTATCACTGCTATCTATCACATTGCAGAATCATAAAATTGTCTACATAGTGTTGCCACAATGTTATTAATCCTTAGAAAATAACAATAATCAAACACAATCACCTTTCACAGTAGTTAAGTTTCTCAAGTATAATATAAAATTGTCCCCACCACCGAGTTGTAGATCCAATATTCTACAACCGGGAAATGACGTTGATTGCCACAAGCCATTTCGGTTTTCGCCAATTTGTGGATTGATCTCAACTGTCACTCAACCACAAGCTCTCACATCCGGGTTTCAATTTTAGTACATAAGCATTTACTAAGTATGTTTATGAAAGTGAATTTAGTTTGTATGCACGATTCTGGTTTTAAAAGTCTTTGTCATACTAGATTATATGGTGTTTTGATACTTATTCGTTTTTGATTCCATTTATTCATTTGTACAAAAACCATGTAATTACTGAATAATAGTGGTTTCCAAAACGACGTGGTCTCGTAGTTGGTGTGATTGTTGGTGGCTTTGGCTTAGGAGCCCTGGTGTTCACTCCGATCGAAACTGCTTTAATCAATCCAAGCAATATCCCTGTTGACCCGAAAACAAGGTATTATTTACTTTTAGTTCTTTTTGGCTAAAATTTACATAAAGCAATCCGTTTGTTCATCTGTATGCTGTCAAAGCCAATATCATTATGGTAAATCCGTAAGCACTACACACATATTGCGACTATATTTTTAAATCTTTATAAATGTAGAAGTTTCTTACTAAAAGCCTAGCTTTATTTATTGTTCCTAATAGCGCGTTCTTGGACTATTACTTTGAAACGAATTCGTTCATTTTGAACAGTTAAATAACTTAGAACTTGCAGAGTACTTACAAATTGTCATTTAGTTTGTAGTCCGAAACTTGAGTTTTGTGCATCCATTTTGTACATGTAACTTGTAGGTGGAAATTAACTATTTATTGGATACTTCGCACAAGACATCATTGTACTACGTACATGATTGATAGTATTTATCAGGAAAGTCTTAATCTTTTATTTATTTAGGGTTCTTACAAAGCAAATGACTAAGTAGTAAATTTTCAGGACGTATGTAATGTATGTAAAATTCAGATGTTGAAGCAGATTTAGAAGTATGAAGTTTTCACGTCGATTTGCAAAAATTTTGTTTCAGACCGATAGAGTATATTTTTGATGATCTTATTAGAGAGAATGACGTTTGCTTTCATTATACTCTGTCTATTACAATGACGTAATTCCTAAATTTAATCTATTGGGTGAAATCTTAAGACAAAAACCCTAGAAATGGCTTCTCAAAGCACTCATTTGTGGTGATTTCGAGTGACAACTTGGACCGATGAGTATATGTGACTGGTCCTACGTTGTACCTGACTGACTGATTTTGAGACCCTAGTAGCAACACAGACCGCGATCAGGAGATTTTATGGAGGGTACTCACAACCACCTAAGAAATGTTATACAAATTTCACTGATTCACTGTTTTGTAAACATCATGATGAAACGTTTTACTGCTGTATTTGAATACGGTTTATGTCATGTTTTAAATTTATAATTCAACAAATACATCTATTGATGCGTTTCAGTCGCTTTGAGTTTGCACCAGTTGTTTTATAAGATTGTTCTCCATCGTCGAACTTGATTCAAACATTCTGATACTGCGTGTCCTGTCGAGGTTTACCTGACAGCAAACACTTTAGGGGAGGGGAATCGAACACACGAGGTAGTGGCTACTGACAGTTTTTGTGTTGCGTCTATGCAACTTGTGCTGAGAAGCTTTTATTGTCGCCATCATAACTTTCAGTGTCAACGTTTCTATCACCTTTTAAATACAGACTCAGACAATGTTGGAATCCGATTATGGTAATGTTGGTGTGTAACAGGCCTTGTATTTCAGTGGTCAAAAGCGAATTGAATCAGTGTTAATAAATGATTCAAATTAACGTCGAATGTAGCTGGATCAAAGATTATCTCTACATCCACTCGACAGAGCAGACAGGTAATAGCTAAAATTCTGTGATAAAGAAGAAAAAAACCATCTAAGTTTGTCAATCAACTTTGTAAGCACACAATGTATTTGGGTGAATAATATGAGCATCTAAGTTTGTGAGTAACGTTTATAAGCGGACACTCAAACTTTTGTGATGACTTCAAGGTGTGGTTGTCACAGCATTCAACTGAAATGTAAAACTTGGAATTCGGGACCTTCATTCAAACCAATGTCATTTTATTTCATAAAAACACTTTGTGAAAGTGAAGTACAGTAATGTCTAGAGATACTATCTACGTATTCATAACATAATAGCTTGGTGAGATGTGGTACTAAGAAATACACCACACAAAATAAGATAAGGAAAGTCGTGTTAGCCGAATTTTCAGTATACTGTCAGCAGACATATCTGTTTTGAAGATGAATACAATAATCACTTTCTTGCAATGGAGTAATCTCACGTTGCCATACCTTTTCTAAACCACATAGTCAATTCTTAGACGAGAGGAACACCATACATCATTGAAGAAAGTGGAAGTAAGTTGTCGGTGTCAGGTAACTTTTAAGTGGAGTTTATTTGAAACCTGAGCTTTAGTGAGTCTGCTGATGTTCTTCACTCTAAAATTATAGGGTAGTTTGGTTTAGGATTTTAATACGGTCAACCAAGTAAAACCTCAGCTGGAGTACGTTACTTGGAATCCCGAACCCTCTTGAACATTGCTAACTGTCGTTCTATTAACCTTACAGATTTTCTCATTGAATCCAGTTGAATAATCGGAGTTTGCTTCCGAACCAACATTTGCTGTCCCTATGCCTCATTCTAGAGGCCTCAACTGACTTTCGCGAACGTTTCTCAAGTCATTAATTAGTCACACTCTTGCATTTACAACCTACTGACTGTTGGAAGGTAAAGATACTATAAAGTGTCTACTCAAATCTTGCACTTATAAATGTGGCGTTCTATCAAATCATAAGTGGTTCCAATCAGAACTCACTTTGCCACGTGCAAGTTCAGATGGTTTACTCTTTTTGACCAGCTGATAACTAGTCTGATATTTATCTCAACTGAGTACTTGATAGGAATGCTAGTTGCAACCATTTTACGTCCATCAATCTGTTTGGGATCACCACCAAAATACAAAAATGGTGTCGCACATTGTAGAATATAGTCAGAACTCAGGGCAGTGCGCACAATGGAGCACGGATTTATTTGGTTATATTTAAAGAGCTCAATGTAAGAGACGAGAACTTGTGAGAATGCTCTCTCACAGTAAAATTTTTATTCTGGATTACTGTCCTTCATGTGGAGACTCTCATGCTATTCAAATACCTCAACTAAATAAAGTAGATGGTTGTGATTGACAAGTTTTACTACTAAACCTTTGATCTAAATGTCTGATCCAAAAAGTTGTTGGTCAACGCTAGCCGATAGTTAACGCCTTACTATATGACATTCGCTTGCTGAAAGTACTGGAGAAAATTTGTACTGCTTTCGAAATGTAGATATATCAATTCTCCTATATATACTTATTACATCAGCTAACCAATATAAAGGCTTTGATGTACGTTTTCATATACTTTTATAGAAACACTGCTTTCCCCTTGAGTGAGAAGGATCTCTATCCACAAGGTTAGAATCGGGTGATTATCGGGAGTAGGTCCTATCTTTTGTAACTCATACCATGAGTTCTGTACATTGACTATAACAACATGTATGCATTTTGTGCACATCCTTTTTTCTCATTTAACTTTCTACAGGCATTTTACGCATCCTGATATCCTTGATCGGGTTCCAGTTGCGTTTTTGATTCTTGGTGGTATTCTTCTTGCATTACAAATAATTGGATTTATATTATTGCGTCCAAAACCACTTGAAAGTGTAAGTAATGAAATAAGTACTTTTCATTCATTTTGATATCAACTTATAGTACATTTTAACTTACTCATTTTATTTACATCTTAAAATAATCGAAAGTACTTTTAACATGGTTTATTTGATTCATGGTAAAAAAGAACGATTTTTGGGCGTTCGAGTGAATTCGTATTAAATAATAATACCCTTTTTTCTCCATCAAAAATATCACCAACCAACAGTCTTCCTACAAATCGGATGATACGTTTAAAATATAGGAGGAAATTATGAAAAAGTTTTGGCAATTCATTTGTGACTGTATAAGTGTGTCTGTTTATGAGGTTTCAGTTAAAATGTATACTTATTTCTTGGACGATAATTATTGACTGAACTAGAATGCCTGGATATGTATAGTAAACAATACATTAATGGATTCGTATCACACAACTAGTTTGGTAATATCAATGATTAATTTGTAGTGGATGAAGGTACATGTTTTGAATAAAAAATTCTGCTGATTAACATGGTAAGTTCTGTTACTTTGCTTTATACTAGTATATTTATAATATCCAACATAAACTCTAGTAAATTTCTCATCACTCACTCCCTATAATACATTAAATAATTTGTATTAACTTCCTTTCGACTAGACACAAGATCGAGACACAGAACTGGTTGTGCGAAATAGAATAAATTCTGATCCTAATCCAGTTATCGTAAGTTTGTTAGGCATTTTTCTAAATTTAATTTAATGAACAATTTTCTGTGTATTGTTTTCTCGAAACTTTCCATACATTTCAAACTACAAATGTCACTTGTGCAATGTACAGTTATATTTTACAAATAATATATGGTTTCATTATTATCTGATGCTTTTCATATATAAAACATTATTGAACTAAAGACTTTCAATAGGACAATTAAGTGTTACGTACTGTTTCATTTTACTGATTAAATTGAAAGGTCTCACAAAAATGAGGTTACGGAACTTGATAATGATTTTTTTCATGTATTTTACCTTTCATTTATTATCTGAAATTTAAAATATAGTTGCGTATATCGTAATCAAAGCGGAACATATCTATACTGTTAGTAATTGTCATTACCAAGGTTTGACTTGATAGTCTCAAATAAATTGTGCATTGTGTAAGTTGATAATAAATATTATTATTACAGTTTAACAACTTTTTCATGAATTTTGTTAAAAATATAAAAACAGAAATGTCTTTTTACTGAATAATAATAAATCGAATAAATTATCATAGGTTTGTATTGTGGTTTTGTTATTTACTAATGAGTGTTCAATGTAAATTGTCTAATAATGTATGAAAATCAGTTATATTATGTGTACATTAACCTAAGATTTTCAATGATTTCCTCAGAGAGAATATACACAAGAGGAACCAAACTTGTGAGTGTGTTATTAATAATACACAGCTCTAGTTATTAGTCATTCTTGCCCTAACCAAACAGCTCTCAATTTATTTTTTAAGTTCACTGTTTTCTTTTATAAAGCTCTGTGAATGAATTACTTGTTGTGCTTTTATTCTTTTATAGTTACTACTTTGAATGTTGTGCCCTAATACTATATTCATATAATAGCGTTGATTGCAGAACTTTTTACTGTATTTTTTTCAAATAAATAGTAAATTATACACTTAACTGAAAATATCAAGAGTGGCACTATGAAATAAGCCCTTGTGATTAATATATTTTGTGATGGTCTAAGATGTCGGTTTCCGTGTGGAGCTACACCGAAGGTGATGCTTGGATCGACATCTGAAGCTGTACCTATGAAAATTGAAATCTAGTAAACAGTGAAACACTAAGAACATTTACAATCTACTAGTCAATGTTTAGAAATCATATAATAGAATAAGTGACAGTACCAATTTAACTCCCAGATTTTTCTATTTCTTTTTCAGGGACGTTTGCGTTCAACCCAAACAATTGTTTCATTATATAGACTTTTATCTTTTATGGTTTGTAATGTTCTGTGACATCATACCAATCACTATAATAACATCGGCTTATAAAGTTAGTTGATTAAAGTCTTATTGTTCATGAAGTAGAGTTTAATCATTACTTTTTTAATTTCTATTAATCTTTCTTATATATTCATTGTAGATACTGGTAAATAATAGAAAAGCATACCATTCTACGTATCCATCCTTTAAACTTACACATTATTTGTACCTCACCATCGTTATACACCTATAAATATTTTGGCGTGTACAGAGGGACTAAAGTACTCTCGTTTACTTTATTTGGTTTGCAGTCGGAGAGTTTTTCAAGTCAATTTTTCTAATTCTGTTGTTCTGTGTTGCCGTAAATTTTATATTTCGGGTTCCGCGTGCGGGATCGTGGATGCGCACTGGTGAGAGGTCCCGTGCTAAGACGAAACGGCCGTCCAGTTTTTTCATGGTGATCTAGCTTAAATCGACTCATGAATTCGACCATTAAATTACTACAATTTCCATAAACCCCCGTCCTGAATAAAAATAAATGACAAAAGTATAAGGATTGAAGTTGTGCATTGTTTATCTGTTTATTTTGAGTTAATTCATTTTATTTTGCTTCAGATTCATATTTGTGAAGCTGAATATCCTCTTAACAGAGTGACGAATTCATGTTTATTCTTATACTTCTTGAAATATTTTATTTTCATTGGTCTTACAGAAGTTGGTGGTTCCTCCTAGTGTTAACTTCTTTAGCTCCACTCATTATTGTTTTATAAATGAGATTTTAAGTCATAAAATATTAATAATATTTTGACCAAACATTTCAAGATGCAGTTGCTGCATGTCCACAGAAAAGAGCTATTGAAAATTTTCTATTAAAATCTGTAAAAATCTATTAGCAAGATCCAGATCTGATCAAAAGATATTCCAAAGAGGACGAGCAAAAGCCCGCTGATTGGTCCACTTTCAAACGAGCGACGCTAGTGGATAACTGGAATCTGCAATAACTTAGACTGACTTGTTGTTTTTCATAGAATGTCTTAACTTTCTCTCCAAGTCGTATTGTGATTTTGAAACTAGTCGAATTGGCAGAGTCTGAGGAATACTAGGTCGAATAATCTAATCTAAATAGGTTCTGTATGCAAATAAACCACTCGAGAAGACAGATGTAACTTTGTGGAGCAGAAGTCCGGGCTCCTTAAGAGTTGCTAAACTGTTATTACTCGTCTTAAATTATTTTTCTATATCTTCAATTGTTGTTTTTTACATTTATGAAATAGGAACAAATGAAATAATGGATTGATGCTGCCTTGAATAACCGTATTCACCTAATAAAAAATGCTGTTTATGTATCTCAAAACTAATTAGTTATAAGCCCTAAGTAAATCTATTATACGAGAATTCCTCAACTAGTAATTTACAACTCACAGTACTTACTTTTCAAGTTGTGTCAATTTTCTTTTATTCTTATTCGTTTAGCTGTTTGGTGCTCAGTATATTGATGATGACCAATTCTTATCCATTGTGGCTACATTTTCATCTCTTTTCAATGCCGGTGGTCGTGTTATTTGGGGTGCCATTGTTGATCGATTATCCTTTAAGGTATGCAATAGAGGTATTATTATCTGGGATATTTTATCAGCAACTGTTTGTAAATTATTGTTAGGAGAAAAATCGCGTTTAAATCTACTGGTCTCGGTTTACGGGACCGGAGATTTAGCTGTGTAGTTTTGAATTTCTTAACTAAAACATTCGTTTCTGTGTTTAATCATCAACTAATTGTTATAAGAGTCGATTATCTACTAAGATTTAATGTGTGAAGACCAAACGTTGAAGCATTTTTTTATAGTCTGGTATTAACAAAGCCAGAATGACTGTATCATAAAGCGCAACTTGTTTCCTTCATGTAACAAAACATAGTCTGAGGTAAAATGGCTGCTGTAGTCTGTTATTTGAAAGTAACGTATGTTATGTTAAGTCTTCAGTTATCATAACATTTATTTATTTTAATTATTGAGACCACCAAACAAAAAAATTAAGAATGATGACAACACCAGTCTCAGAGTTTAACTGAAAAAAAAACAATTTCACACTATGCTTGCAGTTTGGTAGGGTTTTGGGGTTTCTTCCCAAACTATTTAATAAACTTGGTTAACGGATCTTGGCTAATGTTTTTGAATCTAAAAGTTAGTTACATATATTAAGTATCATCCTTTTGTGTTTCAGTCATTCGACAATAAGTTTTTCTGCCAACTTAAATGTTAATCAAATGAAGTGATATTATTACCACAGTGGGAATTTATTCAGAATTTTAGTGCTAAAAATTAACTTCACTAGACTTTATAAACTAATATGTATTTTTATTTGAAAACTTGGGATAACACCTTAATACCTTGGCGATATATTTTAGATACCAATGATGATCATGCTTGTAATTTGGGCAATAGTGCTATTATCATTCCCACATATTGGATCACTGTCAAGTGTTGGATTAAAAGTTATGTATGCTATTTGGGTATTCATTTTGTTTTTTTCGCTGAGTGGTGTTTTTGTCATTCAACCTGCGGCTACTGGGATTCTGTTTGGCCCTTTAAATATGGCGGTGAATTATGGGATAATTTTCACTGGATTTGTAAGCGACAACAATGTTTTTATGTCGTTATGCCATATAACTCATTTTTGTTAATTCTGATTAATCTCATGACTAAAAAGTATCTCTTCGTTAGCTGAGTTGCTGTCATAACTAAAACTATTGAATGTCATACTTAAAATTCCGATGATGCTCGTTACTTTCCATGTATTGATAAAATGACAACCAGTTTCTCGTGAACCATTGGCATATGTATTTTGATTTTATTGGTTAAACTTACCGATGATTTAACTTACGTAGGCATCTTCATTAGTTCATATTCCTCAAATTTCTAACCATTTGATAAGGCTTGCTTGATTTATGCGAGTTCACGGTACTATTAGCTCAGAAAAAATTTCTTATTTAGTGCGGTTACAGTACAGTGGTCAGATTGGTTCTAAAGTAGTTTTATCAGGCAACCAGTAAGTGCAGAACATTAAGAAAAAACATTAGCTACACTTAACATCCGTTTCTGTAACGTTACTTGGTTACTAATATCTGATGATTTTAAACTGTTTAGATCTCAATTTTTAACATTTTTAATTTTAACTGTTCAAATAGTTAAACTGATGATGTATTTCGGTGATCGTGGACTTCAGTTTTAAGCTATAATTAGCAAAATGTCATGCGAATATATTACATCGCAACTAAGCCCTTCTGTAGGAAGCCTAAATATACTCATATTTGCTAATTCAGAACAGTTGTCTTGAAGTTCACAACTTTGTGCCTTGAACTTAATTATTCTCATCTTCTAACTTCTCAATAGTAACAGATTTCGCCGCTGTTGATGTTGCAAATGGATTTGTTAAACATCAGACAACCACTGAGTACAGCACTTCAGAAAGATTCCACTATTTGAAGACAACTTCTATATGCCTAACCCCCTACTTTATTATTGAAATAGTGTTATCCCTAAAAGTAAGCAATTCTCCAGATGTTGTGATTTTAGAGCACATTATTTGAACATTCTGGGCTTGTTGAGGGTGAGTTTCACATGCAACGGGTAAAGACGTACATATCAGACGTTATGAGTATGGGCTTTAATAGTGAAGCTATCGTTATGAAGAGACTGAAGAAAACCTAGACTGAATCCATTCTAGATAATGGTTGTGATAACCCCAAACATTCTTATCAGAACTCACTTAACTAGCGAGATGTACGATCGTCTTAAACTTCTGTAGCAGTTTAGCACCAATTTCTGTTCTAAACTCAGTGAATCCAAGTCTCCTTATCTACTTAATAACGTTGTTCTACTTATGATGATTCGCATTCATTCATGTTTATTTCGTTCGATCTTGTAGAACAAAATGAGAAAAGTTTGTTTAATAAAATATTACGATTTGGTCTTTTTTGAAAATCTTTTTAAGACGGTTGGCAGTATTCTCTGTGCGATCATTACATACTTCATTAATACCCCGAATGCTTATTTGGTACAATTTACTGGTTGTGGTTGCGTGTGCATAGTTGGTAAGATATATTTGTGTACTAACTGTTTATGGTTTGTTGAAATACAGATTATTTTAGTGTTATACTGAGCAAACTAGAAAAGATTCAAGGGATTGAATGATAATCTGCGTGCCTGTTGATGAGCTATAGTAAGCAATGATTCTCCTAGACTAAATCATTATCAGACTAGGTCTGTTTGCACATAAACAAGCATGAACCGTAGGACTGTTCATGCGTTACCTGCTAATGCACTTTCCTATTCATTTTCGTATTCTCCCAGCGTCTGTTTAAAATGATCAGTCTTTACGAGTAAACAGGGTGTCTTGACCGAATATTAAACCATTAGATGTAGTGATGACTGTCTCAGTCACTTTCACAGAAGGGAACAACAGTGTCTGTCGGAGAAATTTCGGGCAGTAAATGTTAGTCTAAAAACATTAGCATATAGCTCAAATGATTGTTATTCACTATAACAATGAATATTAAGTAAATCATGCATTACATTTCATGATGTTTTTATTCATAAGCACTTCCAATTACAAACAATTTTTAGACGACTTGAGAGGTTTACGTTACTATTTGGGAGTGTATTTCGAGAGGGAGAGCGAACCCACCCCGCGAATGTCCGGCGCTTTAACCGGATTCCAAACCAATGGTGCACATGGGTACCAGTATCCTGCGGGAACAAATGGCGTATGAACCAATTTTCGGTCACCGGCTACCACGGGACTGCATCTCCTTACGATGCTCTACTGCCTTGTGGGTTAGACCTTTAGGTCAAAGGCTCGGGGTGTGGCCCCCTAAGATAACCACCTGCTTCGGTTTGGGCACCCGGGCAGTAACGCAGCTCACACGCAATTAGTGAACTGAAATTGTGTGGCGCATATATGTTTGGCGCACTCCTGTACCAATATATATGTGTTCAAATAAATAAATAAATAAATAAATAAATAAATTTGGGAGTGTAATACTTCTATGAGTAATGCACAAATGTCTTAATTGTTAATGTTCTGTATTGTTGACGGTAGTTCATCCCCATTTATTTCTCGTGATCATTTTCAAGTTATTAAAATATCCTAGAACTTTTATTATTTGAAAGCTAAGCTTGTATTTTACATAATATTTTTGTGTATTCTATAACTATACCCGTTGTCGTCAATAATATTATTTGCGTTCTAAAAATTTAAACAAATACTAGCGCCGAATTATATAATGTTGGGTTACAACGATTTAGTATATCCCCCAAGTAAAATTAAACAGTTGGTCAGTATTTCGTATGAACCGTAATAAATTTCGTAAGAAGACAAGCGTCAATGTATATCAAAAAGATTATATACTGCTCACTGAACTTAAATGATCATACGGTAGTATGCTGTGTTGAGATTTCAGAAAGTTACTAGCATTAACGTTTGTTAATAACTATTAGATAATACAGTTACATTACACAAAATAGTTTTCCTTTTCATTATATATTTTTACAGCTCTAATCGCCAGCGTTTGGATAGAAGACCGAAAAATGTCAAAGCGTTGTAAAATCTGCAATTGTTGCACTACTATGTGTAAATCTCTACGAGTTGGATATCATGGTATTGAAGGTACAGAGGCAATATTAGATGATACAAGTTGAAAAAGAACAACAATTAAAAACATATTAATGGAGCAATTTACAATTTATTTATTTATTTATAAGCAGATTAGTTCTCTTTATTAAAAAAGGTACATTTGTCACAATTTTCGATAAATTAAGTAGAACATTTTGATTTTTAGTAAATAAGCTATTAAGGTTTGTTGTTTTGTTTTTGTATAAACAAGGTGGATGTTTTTCCATTTAGAAATGTTCCTATCAACTTTCCCAACCAAAACATTTTTATATGCAATTGTTCTGGTTTTTATAATTTATATATGTGAATGTGATTTTATAGCAAGTATTTTGCTACATTAATATTCATTTTATTGTTGTGTGGTAAGTGAATATAAACTAAAGAAAAAGAGAAATATCATTGTTTCATTTGGACAGTTGTTTTCGATCAAAATACTGGTTTTAATTAGATTACAAACTTTTAGTACTGTCAATAGTGCACAGTAATATATATAATTTCAGAAATAGTAATATAAAAAAATCAGTAGTCTACCAAAATCTCAGAATACCGAATTCGTTTTAATCACTCCTATACGTATGGAAAGTAACAACAAGATCATAATTAATCACTTGAATGTTAAATATTTGTAACTAGCATTTTTAAGTCACACAGATCTAGTTCAGAAACGTATCGTGATTCTACGTATAGGGTTTTAAGTATGATGTAATACAGGTTACGTATTTTAGTATAGCAATATCAGTGTGTACTTAAATTTTAATTTGTTTCAAGGTAAACGTTCTACTCGTGTCTTTACTGTCTAGTTGTAATATAGGTGTAATGAAGCGTTAATTACAAAACGTTACTTCTGGAAATCAGAGAAGCTGCGAAATTGTAACTTCGTAGATTCGAAATGCTATGTTCACTACGTAGTACCTATTTATTGTCTTCATGCTTCCTGAATTCCTCCAGACTAAAATTCGTGTTAATTGTTGTTTATATTAGAGGTGCTACGATCGAGCTATTTTAACCGTCTTAAGAAATGAGGTATTTGCGTTGATTAATTCAAGTTGATTGACAGTACTTGACTAGCAATTATGAGTAAACAATGATGAGTTAAGTTATTACTCAGAGATGAACATGATATATTCCAATTTTAGTAACGACAGTTTCTGTCGTTTGTTATGTCAATACAACTTGAACTCTTAACATTTTCATTAATACCAATACTACTTACGTTAAACATATCTTGCGATTCCATTGTAATTACATTTTCTATACAGTTGATGCGTTGAACTATTCATTTAGTTTATAATTTGTGAGGCTCGTATGAACGCTAATATTATCTCTACGCAAATATATTTAATTTTCAGTTTTCTAACGTATAGTAATGTGTAGTAATCAAAAATTTGTTATCATGAAAATATTCAGTATAGGATGCAAACAATTCTTAGTTTTATTATTTGTTAAGTATTGCTGTTATCAACTTCTTAAATCATTGATTTTTGACTAGAGAACATTTTTTTATCAGGAAAAAGAGTACGGTAAGATGTAAGTTCAGATGTTAATATAAAAAAACCTGAATTAGTAGGGTATCCTCTTCAAGATGTTTACTTTTCTTAGTTCATATTACAAATTCTACTGTAAAATAATCATCTTACAAATCCACATTATTATGGTGCGTTGGAAGTAAGTTGAACTAGTGAATTTGTACATTAATCTTCACGTCAATTTTTCTTGATTTTGACGATTCTTATCTATCTAAAAATTGATTAGAAATCTATGAAATTTTACACTTTGTAACTCAATAACTATTTGTTTACAAAACGTTTGCCCCCCCCCAACGACTGATTAATTTTAGACAAACTGAAAAATTATTTATCTTACTTAGTAAACGAATGATTTTTCTATGAATTTAATGTTGTTAACATTATCAATCTGGTAATACATCGTTCTTGATGGGATATAATAATTTAAGATTATATTCGGAAACGGTCATCTGAATTCATATTCTTTAGATGTTACATAATTAGTACTCATTTTACATTAGCTGATAGTCTAATTCATTCCTTCCGTAAATTATAGTAAACGCAACATCTAAATATTTGCTTAATAAAGTCAAATTAAATTAACTTCTATAGTTTTAGCGGTTCAGAATTCTCATATTTTATATATTTGTCATAGTGTTTTAAAATTGGTAAACTTGAATAATTGAATATTGAGTAATTGAATATTTTGGTATCATTATTATTTCGTTTATAGTTGTATTTTAGACCATTTACTTAGAACTAAATCACACCAACTCTGTGCATAAAATTCATGTATATAAAGTAAATGGATTCTTTATCTATCAGGTCACAATTGAATTTATTGAATTAATCCTATTAATCAATCAGCTGTTAAAGTGATTTCGTTTTGATGAACATATTACCTATCACGCTTCAGTGTATTAAGAAAAATGTACTTTTTAAAAAATTTTTAATGAGAGAAAGGTTCACGGTAAATGAGTTTACCTACTCTTTTTTCTTGATCGATCTGTATCTATTTACTAACGGTTAAACTAGAATCACTTGTTTGGTTACTTCATGTAAATCATTTGTAGTAGGGACAAATAAGTTATCCAAGCGTGTCAGTTTCACGAATTACATAAAGATCAGGTGTATTATGAATTGTTTCAGTTCATACTACCGCTCATTTTCTTTGTAGTCATGAAAGTAGATAGTTCGATGAAAAGTGTGTCAGTCATGATTTGCGAGTGAAATCTAAACCGAAATTTAACTTGTACTAGGTTTCGGTGCAAGTATGAATAGTCGGAATATCCAAAATTATTTTATTTTAATCACATTCTCATTAATATAAGCCACAATGTGATCTCAGAGCTAGATTATCTTCAAAACATTTTATTTCTTACTGAATAAATTTTTATAAAACATTGATTATTGTACTCTTGTGTAACTACAAAGCGTTTCTATAGTGCCGTCCATTTTTGAAACGATTATCAAAACTTAAGTTTTCATCATGATTTAAGTGGGTTGAAAATTTGGGATCCTCGAAATCGTTATCTCAAGTTAAACTAATTTGTTTATTTACGAAAACGAATTATCACCCATCCTCTTTTCCATAAACGCAATTTCGTTCTACTATTGTCACGCTTAACTACTTTTTTCCTATTGGGATTTCTCAAGGTACTCTGTTATCAACAGGTTTACTATAGAAAAAAAAACAAATTATTACATTACAAAAGTAGCCAATAGGAACCTCCAGTGAGTTTACTTAACACAGCTATGCAATCTATAATTCAAAAGAATGCTGACGAGATAACGATTATCTAAGTATGTTAATGGTAGTCCATGTTGGCAAAATACTCATCCAAAATGAATGTTTACGTAAAAGAATTTTTATTGCTGTCTGAAATTTCCCCTGATATGAGAACTGAATATTTTAAATATGTTAGTGAAGCCAGCCGAACTAACTTCAAGTAATGAGTCATACAATATCTGAATAGCACATTCTACACCAATAAGTTCCACGAATTCAGAATCCTATATGCCTCATACGCTAACAACTCAAAACGATTAGAAAACATTCTGGTTAAATTCAACGTTCAGTTGACCAGAGCTAGAAAGCATACAAAACGTATATGAATACTTGGCGTTAAAAACTTCAATATGTTCAAAATTCTATAAAACCAATATTAAATTTTTGTCGTTTTTATGTCATATTCAATCACTGAAATCATGATCTGAAAAGATCAGAAATCGTTCCTGAATTTTCTCAATAATAAATCGATTAGAAGAAAACGATTAAGGCATCTGGATTAGAAAGTATTATATATTGTTATTAGATTAATAAAAATTCTACTTGGTTGTATAAGATTTAAATCATGAACTACCAAGAAAAAAATGGAAGGTAAAGTGATTTAAATATATCTCTACAATGCAGGATGCAACGCCTGGTCGTATTTATAATTCTTTAAACTGATAGCGAACGTTGATCAAAATTTAGTTTTGAACACCATCTGAATATCATTTAAATCCTTAAAAACAAGCATCATCTCCGTTGGAGAAGTTAGTAGCTTTCTGAATCCATCGATGGCATGGAGTTTAAGGCGATAGAAATAGCGTCTGACTGTCAGTGTGAACAATATCAATGTACAACAGTTTTCACGATGTAATGGCTTTTTATTACGTGTACTCAACTTTTCTTTTATTTACTGTTTAAAGCAACCAGAAAAACCATTTGACAGGAGAATACTTGTATTCTTGATTAGTTTGCATGCGACAACAGTATTACCTATCAACCATAATTTAAGTACACTTTAATTTGTCCCTTAAAAGTCCAGACTGTAATCATATCGTGGACGTGAATACTTCCATTACTTGCTTACATTCTACTTAACTATGTAGACATGTTAATACGTACGTCTATTTAACTTCAACTAGTTTGCTAGGTTGTCGTACTCGTAACACACTTATTGTAGTCCGTTACCACGGATAGGAATTAGTCAATCTATACGTTAATGAAGAGCTCTATCTTATTAATGTTGTGAAATAGCTTCGAGCAACGGCTATAACTGCGAAACAGTTCCATCTACTTGACGAATGACAAACAGGAAGGCTAATAAGTCATAAGTTTTAGACTTGGTGTGATAAGAAATTCAGCTTTTATTACTGGTATAACGGATGGTTGACAATATTTTCCCCTTGCACGTATATTACGATATCACGTCAATATGTTTATAAGACTAATCACGTTATATCAGAACCAGGATTTGCGACCCGAAATAGAGAATTAGATTAACACTAGAGAATACTTTATTCACCACAATTACAAGCGGTCGCACACAGTGATTCCAGAGTAGAAATCAATAATAAGAAAATTAAATATTTAATGGTCCATAAGTTGTGGCTATTTGTCCACGCTCAACGACCAGTCATATTTTACTTTCACTACCACACATCAATTAACAACAGCTAAATAAACATTTCAGGGAACTATATTTTCGGCAACTTTGCTTTCGGGCCCTATGGATATTTCGGTTAGAAAACGA